AACTGACCACACAAAGCAGGAGAGCACAGCGTGGTCAATTTTAAGATTCTTATGCAGCTGAGAACAGAGGATATGTGATCACTCAAAACATATATTAAAAAAAAGGTGAAAAAGGGTATTTATGATGTCTTTTATATGTATACATACATGTTTTGCCTTTCATTTCTATTTTAAACTTAATGGGTTGTTTTACAAGATGAGGGTTCACATATATTAACATTCACAAGTGAAGCACTGAAGTTGTTCTAGCTGGGTCTCAGCACTCTGCTCTATCAGTCTTCCAGTACACCTGTCCTATCCTTAAAAAGAAGTTTGGCTGCCAAATCACTGCTGGCAAGGGAAGCAGAATGATATAGGCTGCTATAATGAAAGGGGAAATTCGTCTGCTGCAAAACTAGAAACAGTCTGTTTTGCAACTAGAGTGGGTTCCACATTCAAAGTCCAAATATATATGTGCAGATTCACACAGAATTTCTTTTTTAAAACCATAATATCCTTTGAACTATGGCCAGGTTTAAAAGGATCATTTCAGAGGATTTTGGATAAGCCACCCTCTTCCCTATAAAAGGAGAGGGATAGGGTAGCCAGTGTATTGGAAGCTGCTGTATAGAAGGAACAGGAAAAGTTGAAAACCTGCATAGCGAGAGATTAGAGTCAGAAAACTGTACATCAATACTTGTCATGTTTCACAAGACTGTCATATGCCTTTAAGTGTTTTCTATATTTTGTCTCTGCTCCTCCTTTTCCTTTGGGTTAATGTTGTATAGATAGCCCACCCCTTTTCCCAGTAAGGCATTGCAGCTCAAGCCTCATGTCATGAAGCAGGACACATTATGATCTTTTGACCTATCGAATGTTCATTGTTGTAAGATTCGCTCAATTTATGGAATAAACTTCACAAGATCTACAAGATATCATCTCGATTGAGTCACTGACTGTGGTATCCAACTGAGGTTGAAGTTATTGCTATCTCATCACAACTGTAAGTTACAGAGATCACACTTTCAATGCTTGGATTGGAGAGACAGTGGGATGCTTCATAGGATCCTTGCTAGTCAAAAGATCAGTGAAATGTCTTCATAGGATCAGCTAAAATATCAGTCAAATGATCAGTGAAATGTCTTCATATGATCCTTGCTGGCTTTGGACACACAGTGAGATGTTATATGGACAGCTACAGAGAGTGCAGCCATCTCTACACATGCCTGTACATGTCTGCAAGTATATCTCAGCATAACACTCATCAGTGTCAGGACAAATTATTGGTGTGAATGTCCTACAACTGCACGTTTTATACACTGCATCTGTATGCATTAGCTCATGACTTGTCTGTAAATCTTGTAAGAAAGTGAAAGAAAACTTTTTTGCAATCATTGCCTAGGAAACCTGAGCTCACCCACAGAAAAATTGATACATTTCTCTCTAAACTTTGTATCAACCCCTCTCCTTGCTAACATGATGTTTCAGGAAAGCAATATGCAGTCTGGGGAAACTAATACACAACCACAATCAGAGCTTCATCCAGAGCAGGACTTAGACAAAGAACTGCTGTCTAACATCAATGACTTATGGTCTAATACTGTTAAATGCATGTCTGCTCTCTCCCAACATCTCATGAGCCAATACAACTAGAGGGCACTATCCAGCAATTGAATTTTGCTTATGAGAATTATCAAAGACTGCATGTTAAATATATTGCTCTCTTAAAGCGGTACAACACTCAAAGGACATTGGAAGAATTAATGAGTTTTTGAGGAGCTCAATCTTGAAAGAGACAATTTAGTGGTGCAAACAAAGACAAAGGCAGAAGTGAGACTAACACAGCTCCATGAATCCTGATCTTATCGCTCTGAGTCTACTAGACGCTCCTCAAGATCTTTCAAATTCCTACAAACAAGGTCTTCCGCGGTCAGTAAAACAACTAATAAAAGCCTGTGCTGATGCTGAAGCTTTTAAAATTCAGACAGCTTTCGCCCAAAAGAAAGCAGAAATAGAGGCTCAGGACGCATATAAGAAAGCAGAAAAAGAAGCTGAAGCCACACGCCAAAAGGCAGAAATGGAACTTTTGGAAAAACAATGTGAGCATGTCAAAGTCATGGCAAGGTTAAGGTACTTAGAACAAGCCATTAGTGAAAACGAAAGAGACAACAATTCCAGACACTCAGTTGTATCTTATGTCTCAGATTCTTCACACACCTCTCCAGAACGTCAACTCCCTGTCACAGCAGCCAAAGTACTCAATCAAGGTCTCTTCTCTGCACCTACTATACCTCAAGACAATTTGCCCTTATATCCTCCAATACATCAGACTGCAGCATCTCAGCTAGCCGCAGAGACTGGTGTGTATTTAATAGACAGTTCACTTTACTTTGGCACCAGAGTACCTCCTAGCAAACACATTACTCTAAAAACTAACATGCCAATAGACTTTAAGCCAGCTCCAGCATTGAATGCCTTAGCAGCAACTCTGAGATTCAAAGCAGTTCATATTGACAACCCTGCTGCAGGCCTTAATGCTGCTTGGGGCAGAATAGAGCATATCTTTGGCAGCCCAGAGGCCATTGAAAATGTCTTATTCAAAAGGTTGCAAAGCTTTCCAAGGCTTTCTGCTAGCGACAATCTAAAGTTTCAAGAACTCAGCGATGTTCTATTAGAGCTTGAACTTGTTAAGGCTGACATCAACTCACCTGGTCTCAGTTACCTTGACACCTCCCATGGCATCAAATCTACTGTTCTCCAGCAACCATATGGAATTCAAGAAAGATGGGCAGTGCTTGGATCAAACTATAAGGAAGAACAGAGAGTTGCCTTTCCTCCTTTTTCCTACTTCATGCGAGTTCATCAAAAGAATTGCAGACACTAAGAATGACCCAAGTTTCTCATATGGGGACTGTAACACATGTATGTCACACAGAGACCGTAGAGGTCCAGCGTTAGTGAAAAGGACTTGGCAATGTCCAATACATAACAAACCACATTCACTTAAGAAATGTATCGACTTCAGAAAGAAAACCCTCCAAGAACGCAAGGAACTTTTGAGGAAATTTGAGGTTTGCTACAAATGCTGTGCCTCTACAGAACACTTTACAAAGGACTCTAAAGCAATCATCAAATGTATAGAGTGTGACAGTGATGACCATGTGCAAGCTCTTCATCAATATTCGCACAATTCTACTACACTCACAAAGAATTTTCCTGAGGCAAAGCAAGGTGGGGAGCGCCCAGATCAAGCAGCACCTACCACCCCAGTGTTCTTACATGTACAGAGGTCTGTGAGAGGATTCTGTGACAAATCCTGTGCTCAAAGATAGCTTGGTCTGTGTATACCCCAAAGGTCCACACATATGCACCATATGCTCAGCGTCTGGATCTAGGATGGGTCATCATAGGCAATGTCTGCCTAGACAAGGACATGGAGGTCAACTCAGTCTCTCCTTTAAAACACATGTCCTGTCAAATGGTACCTAACAACTTATTCTGCACACATGACCACCATAAAATATAGTGAAAGAAAGGGACTGTTTAAAAAAGTGCACAAAGGCCCATCATACAAAACAATAAGAAAGCTATTAATCTCTGGGATGACAACTTCAGCAACAACAGTGTTCGAGATAACCACTAAAAGACAATTGAATCTGGCGTGCTACTTAGAGATGAGCGAAGTATTCAAAAATTCGATTCGACTGATTCATGCGAATTCCGTGGAAATTTTCGATTCGAGACGAATATATTCGCTGCGAATTTAACTTATAAAAGGGTGTTTCTAGGCTTCAGAGTGACTTTATATTAGTGCAGAACACTGTACCGTTAATTTAAATGCCCTTGGAGTCTGCTGGGAAGAGAAATAATACTGATAGTCAGTATGACATGCAGATGAGTGCCGTCGATCTTAGAATCACCGCACACTTACTCATTTGGGCAGTCACAGGGGGCCAAAACCAGAGTGTGGAGAGCCCCCGTTTCTGTGGCGGCTGGATGGCGCGCACGGCAAAGGGAGGGCCATACCTGCACCCTATGACAAAATGGAAACCAACAGCAGTGTGAGGAGACCTGAAAGTGGCACATGGGCAAGAGTTGTGGGCGATGGAGACAGCAGCAATGGGAGGGCCGTACAGGGACCCATTGACAGACGCTGGGACCTGGCAGCAGCATGAGGAGGCGGTATAGGGGCCCATGGCAGATTAGGGGCCTGGCAGCCAGCTATGGGAGGCCGTAATCTGCCACTGCACCCTACTGTCAAAAAATTAAACACACCAGCCGTGTGTAGAGGGAGACCTGAAAACGTGGCACATGGCATGAGACACTGTGGGACCCTGGCAGCAGCATGAGAAGGCGGTTTCAGGGTGCCCATGGCAGATTAGGGGGCCTGGCAGCAGCTAATAGGAGGCCCAGTCGTAATCTGCCAGCTCCCTATGGACAAAAAATGGAACACACCAGCAGTGTGAAGGAGACCTGAACGTGAGCACATGATGGCATGAGACACTTTGGAGGAACCTGGGCAGCAGCTTGAGGATGCGGTTACAGGGGCCCATGGCGATTAGGGGCTGGGCACAGCTGATTTAGGAGGCCCGTTAATCTGCCAGCACCCTATGACAACAATGGAAACACACCCAAGCACGTGGTGTGAGGAGACCTGAAAGTGGCACATTGGCAGAGTGTGGCGATAGGATGGACAGCTAGCAATTGGAGGCCGTACAGGGATCCCATGACAGGCTCTGGACCTGGCAGCAGCATGAGGAGGGCGGAGTATAGGGGCCCATGGCAGAATTAGGGCACTGCCGCAGCTATGGGGAGGCCGTAATCTGCCAGCACCCTATGTCATAAAAAATTCAACACACCCAGCAGTGTGTGAGGAGACCTGAAAGTGGCACATGGCATGAGACACTGTGAACCTGCAGCAGCATGTTGCATGAGGACGGCGGGTACAGGGGCCCATGGCAAGATTTAGGGGCCTGGCAGCCGCTATAGGTGGCCCCGAAATCTGCCAGCACCCTATGACAAAAAAATGGAACACACCAGCAGTGTGAGGAGACCTGACAGTGGCTCATGGCAGAGTGTGGCGATGGAGACAGCACGCAATGGGAAGGCCGTACAGGGACCCATGAGACACTCTGGGGACCTGGCAGCAAGCATGAGGAGGCGGCGGTACAGGGGCCCATGGACAGATTATAGGGGCCTGGCAGGCAGCTATGGAAGCCGTATTCTGCCAGCACCCTTTCTGACAAAACATGGCCCAAAGCAGTGTGAGGAGACCTGAAAGAAACACACCCCCCCCCCAAACACACCCAACACACCACACAAACACCACCCACAAACACACAACAACAAAAACAACACTCCCACACACCCCACAACACAAAAAACCACACACCACACAACCACACACACACCCCCCCCCCCCCCCCCCCCCCCACCCCCCCCCCAAAAAAAAAAAAAAAACACGCACATGGCAGCGTGTGGCGATGGAGACAGCAGCAATGGGGAGGCCGTCTTACAGGGACCCATTACAGGACTCTGGACCTGGCAGCAGGCATGAGGAGGGTGGTATAGGGCCCATGGCCGAGTAGGGCGTGGCAGCAGTTATGGGAGACCCGTTAATGTGCCAGCACCCTATGACAAAAAAATTGGACACCACCAAGCCGTAGTGTTTTTTGAGGCGAACTGACATTGGCACATGGCAGAGTTGTGGCGATGGAGACAGCTAGCAATGGGAGGCCGTACAGGGACCCATGCCTGACTCTGGACCTTGGCAAGCTGCATGAGGCCGGCGGGTTATAGGGGCCCATGGCAGATTAGGAGGGGCCTGGCAGCAGCTATGGGAGGCCCGTAATCTGCCCGCACCCTATGTCAAAAATTCAACAACACCAGCAGTGTGAGGCGACCTGACAAGTGGCACATGGCATGAGACACTGTGGGGACCTGCCAGCAACAATGAGGAGGCGGGTACAGGGGGCCCATGGCAGATTAGGGGCCTGGCAGCAGCTATGGGAGGCCTGTAATCTGCCAGCACCTATGTCAAAAAAATTGAACACACCAGCAGTGTGTGAGGAGGACCTGAAAGTGGACATGGGCAAGTGTGGCGATGGAGACAGCTACAATGGGAGGCGTACAGGGACCCTATGAGCGACTTTTTTCCTGTGGGAACCTGGCAGCAGCATGAGGAAGGCGGTATAGGGGCCCAATGTCAGATTAGGGGGCCTGGCAGCAGCTATGGGAGCCCGTAATCTGCCAGCACCCTATGACAAAAATTGGAACACACCAGCAGAGTGAGTAGACCTGAAAGAGGCACATGGCAGGGCTTGATTTCATATCGGACTATCATCAGTTGTGTCAGGAACTGGTGGTTTGACATTGCAGACTAATCAACGCCTGATTCTATTTTTCACAAACGTGAGTCTCTTCCACACTTTGGAGTGGTGACAGTCGTGTCTCCTCCGCGAGTTACAATAACTCCCTGCCGCACTAAAAACACGCGCTCCGATTGCCACGCTACTGGCCGGGCATGACAGCCGTTTTCAATGGGCAAATTCAGCTAGTTGGGCCACAGGTCAGTATCGTTGCCCAGTAGTCAAGGGGATTGTCTACCTCGGTTGGCAGGGTGCTGTCCAAGTCGGCCCAAGCCCTGTTGTTTGAGGTCCCCTGCTTCCAGGTCCACTGATGCTGTCCTTGCTGCTGCGGGCTGGTTAGTAGTTTCCTCACTGCGCTGGTTGAAGAAAGCTACTCATCATCGACTGCAGACTGAGGGCAGCCGACTGCTGGTGGGAAGCTACCACTGATCCTACCACCCCCACCCGCACCCCTGCCTGCCCTGGCAGCGGCACGCGGAGACGCACAGGGCCCACTGTGTCTGAGGGGATGGACAGTTAGCGACACAAGGCAGAGACCAAAGCTGGACATACATAGGTGGTTTTTATAGTACGTTATTTTTGGCCTCCCTCTCAGCAGTGTGAAAAAGGGCCACCATTTTTGAACGGTAGCGAGGGTCCAACCAGGGTGGACAGCCAAAAGTCATCCCTCTGTCTCGATGGTTATTATTCGGGGCTGTCGCTACGCAAGCAAAACGTGCATGCTATGGGCCATTTGTGCCAAGGAATGCGAGGGACTCCCGTGCCTCCATCTCCCAGCAATACTGCCCACGGTCCCCCGTCTGGGTCCTCTTCTCCTCCCCCTCTCCTCCTCTACCACATGCTCCTGCTCCTCCACGCCTGTCCGCTGAAGTGGAAAAACCACCCCATTTCACTCAATAATTCCTTGAGCACAAAATGTCCTCCTCTACTTCTCCTCCTCTTTTTCTGTCCTGCCCACACAGGGACATGTGGCGTTGAGATCTGTGCGCCACGGTCTACCGCACCCTGACCACGCATTGTTAAAACATTTGTTCCAGGACCTTGCAACAGATGAATGACGTCGTCGATCATCCCATAGTCCTGCCGACTCACGAATAGCACTGGCCTCCTCAAAGGGCCTGAGCAAGCGGCAGGTGTTCACGCATGAGCTGCAATGAGCTGAGCATCGTAGTTAAGATACAAGGGGAGTAACCTTTATCGCTTGTAACATCAGGAAATCGCGTGATGGCCTTTCGCTGTTTCGTAAAGCGGTCCTTTTCTAAACAAAAGTGTGTAGGTTTGAAATTCTAAACACCTTGTGCCAAACGTCCTCAGATCAGGCGATGCTGTGGAATTCGATCTCTGCCGCTGCAGCTCAAAGGCGGGTGAGTGCATTGCGGTGTAGGAATGGCTGAAATGCATGCAAAGTTTACGTGACATTTTTAAGGATGACTTGCAGTGGGATGGTGGATTGTTAGGAACCGCTTTGACAACCAGATTGAACACCACGTGATCCATTGCATGGACGCTTGGCACAACCTTCCTTGAGCAGAGCCAGACACCATGTTCTTTCCGTTGTCGTGGTCACCATGGTTGGTGATTTTCAGTCTGCGCGGGGACAGTCATCTGTCGATTTCTTCTGGTTCAGTACACTGACTCGAAGTTCCTCCCTGTGTGTACTACATTCGCCAAGGCATACCAGGTGCAGCACAGCGTTGACACCGTTTTCGCCCTGCACATCGATGATATGCCGGTCGGGTAATGGTTACTTGGCACGGGGGTGGCGGCTGAGGGGACACGGGGGAAGAAGAGGTGGGTAGAGGCGGACATGTGTTTTGTGGACCAAGGACGTGCAAACGTGGAGTTCAAAAGCGGCGTGAACCTGTCCAAGAATGCTGGTGCGGGCTCTTGTGCGCACCACGTTCACCCAGTGGGGCCCGTAAATGACATGTACTGTCCTCTGACCGTAGTTACAGCTCCACACGTTGGCGTTTGCCGCTGCACTTTGGCAGAGAACCGACATGCTTAACGACTTGGCCCACCATCTCTTCTACATTGTGAAAGCAGGGCTGGCACTGCCTTATTTGGCGACCGAAATGACGGCTTGGCACTCTCCACCGCGGCACGGCATCACAAGCCATTTCATGTTCTCGGAAAGGTGCTGAGTCCACCACTGTGGAAATGGGAGGGACTGCAGCACCATCACACATGGACAGGAGGACGTTCAGGCTTTTGCACCGTCGTGTGCGTGCTCGCAACCTGTAGTACTCTTGGAAACGGATTCCACAGAAAGGACTGCTGACGGAATTCCGTGAACAGGAGGAGCAGGAGACAGGAGCATCTGAAAGCGAGCGGAAGCTTGCCAACGAGCGAACAACTCCCCTCAGCAGGAAGTGGTTTGGAGCCTTGACTGGCTGATAGAGGGCGATTTTCAGTCGCGGGTGACGGGAGCAAGTAACGGAGGCGGGTGGATGGTTGAGCGTGGGGCTGGGGGGGCGGGCAGAACCCGCCGTATCTTTATTCACGGTTTTCCCAGGGCGGCCCGGGGGGGGGGGGGGGGGGGGGGGCCAACAAACGGCAACGCTGCATTATGCTGCCGCACCGCTGTATAGTCCCTACATGGGCCCCTGGCCACGCTTGACTTTTCTGGCCACTTAGTCGACATAACGGCTACGTTTACTTCCTCGGGCGGCCTTGACAAAAAAAAATTGCCACACCCGGGCCGAGGTAGGAAACTTTGCCCCCGATACTCCTCACTGGCTGACTGCTGCTTCCTCCTCGTGCCACACCGGCACCACTACTGGCGGTGGTGGTAGGCTGCAGTGTAGCTGGTGCTGTACTCCGTGGGCGATTGCCTCCACTGACACTGCTGCGACTCCTGCTGCCTCCCTCCTGGGCAACCCACCGTCTGTTTTGTCGCTGCCAAGCTGCCCCACCCACTTCCTCCTGATGATGCGGAAGCCATAGCCGATGACGACGGAGGTGCCAAGTGCGATCAGCCTCCTCATCATCAATTAGGGTCTCCGCCTCTACTACTAGCCCCCTCGGCTGCGTGTGGGTCAGGAGACAGACTTCTCTAGACCCGGCTACCGAGGCACTCCTCCTCGCCACTACTTCTTCGCCTGGCGGCTGAAGAAGGCGGATGTCTTCCCCCCGTTCTACCCGACTCTCTGTTTGCTCTTCCTCACTGTAAGTGGGCTGACCCACAGCATGCGTTACTTCGCTTGGCGAGGGAACACCAAAGGACAGGGGGCAGGTAAGATGACACGGGATTTTCATGGGCTTGTCCCGGGCCTTGACAACTACGTTGTGTCTGACGTACCCACCCGACCCGTTGGCTGTAGGTGCAGAGGTGACCTGGGAAGAGGAAGGGGAGACTGACCGAGCCAACCAATCAATGACGGCAGAGGTATCTGTCGGTGGAGACACGGACCGCTGGATGACACTCCGGGAGCAAACTGGCCTCTGAGCTGCGAATAGTCTGCTGCCTCCGACCCCTTCCTCTGCTGCCACGTCTGCTCGCTCCTAAAACATTGCCTCCTCTGCCACTCCTCTGCATGTTGTTCTGACATACTCTTTAATTCAACGATTCTGTGTCCCTGAGTAACAATTCCATGTGTCCTCAGTAACAATTTCTGTGGTCCCTCAGTAACAATTCCCTGTGTCCCTCAGTAACAATTCTGTGTCCCCCTCATTAACATTTCTTGTGTCTGTCACCTGAGGTAACAATTCTGTGTCCCTGAGTAACCAATTCTGTGTCCCTGAGTAACCAATTCTTGTGTCCCTCAGTAACCAATTCTGTGTCCCTCAGTAACTAATTCTGTGTCCCTCAGTAACAATTCTGTGGTCCCTGAGTAACATTCTGTGTCTGTCCCTAAGTAACAATTCTGTGGCCCCTTAAGTAACGATTCTGGTGGCCCCTCAGTAACAAAATCTGTGTCCCTCAGTAACATTCTGTCTGTCCCCTAAGTAACAATTCTGTGGCCCTAAGTAACGTTTCTGTGGCCCTAAGTAACGATTCTGTGGCCCTCAGTAAACAATTCTGTATCCCTCAGTAACAATTCTGTCTGTACCCTGAGTAACAATTCTGTGTCCCTAGGTAACGTTTCTGTGTCCCTAAGTAACGATTCTGTGGCCCTAAGTAACGATTCTGTGGCCCTAAGTAACGTTTCTGTTGCCCTTAAGTAACGTTTCTGGTGGCCGCTCAGTAACAATTCTGTGTCCCCTCAATAACAATTCTGTGTCTGGTCCCTAAGTAACAATTCTGTGTCCCTAAGTAACGTTTCTGTGGCCCTAAGGTAACGATTCTGTGGCCCTAAGTAACGTTTCTGTGTACCCTCAGTAACAATTCTGTGTCCCACAGTCACAATTTCTGTGTCACCTGAGTAACAATTCTGTGTCTGTCCCTGAGTAACAATTCTGTGTCCCTAAGTAACGTTTCTGCCCGTGGTTTCCCTTTTTCCTATCTTTTTTTTTTCCCCCCCCCCCCCCCCCCCCCCCCCCCCCCCCCCCCCCCCCCCCCCCCCCCCCCCCCCCCACCCCCCTCCCCCCCCCCCCTTTTAACGGTTCCTGTGGCCCTCAGTAACAAATCTGTGTCCCCTCAGTAACAATTCTGTGTCTGTCCCTGAGTAACAATTCTGTGTCCCTAAGTAACGTTTCTGTGTCCCTAAGTAACGTTCTGTGGCCCTAAGTAACGATTCTGTGGCCCTAAGTAACGTTTCTGTAGCCCTAAGTAACGTTTCTTGTGGCCCTAAGTAACGTTTCTGTGGCCCTAAGTAACAGTTCTGTGCCCTCAGTAACAGTTCTGTGGCCCTCAGTAACAATTCTGTGTCTG